AGTCAACTGGGTCATATTCATTTAACTGAACGAACTTCAAGCTTCCATAGTAAATTATTAATTCTAATAGTCAATATAATGTTAAATTATTTACAAATTCATATAAATAAAATAGATGCTACTTATATTCCCTTTGGGTCAAACTAAGCTTTTCATCTATGTGACCTTGGGCAGGTCATTAACCTCTATAGGCTTCAGTTTTCTAGTCTGTGAAACGAGATGGTTAGCACTATATGATCCTGAAGACCTTTCCATCTCTAAGGATAAGGTAATCAGAGAAGCAACATGATTCCAAATTTAGGGACACACATAGTTTTTCCACGAAAGGACAAAGGGCTTGATTGAGGGTATGGAGAGCTAGTACAGCTTAGGGAAGGGAATGAGCATTTATTAAGCACCTACTATGTGTCAGGCATGCTGCTAAGTGCTTTATGATTGTCTCCTTTGCTCCTCAGAATAACGGCGGGAGGTAGGTGCTATTATTATCCCCATTTTACAGGTGAGGAAACTGAGGCAGACAGAGGTGAAGTGACTTCCCCTAGGTCTCACAGCTAGCATCTAAGGCCGACCTTGAACTCGGGCTGTTTCCTGACCTAGCACTCTGACAGCCCCACCCAGCTGTCCTTAGGCCCCCATGGGATGTGTCCTGAGTTCATCCCCCTAACATCCTAAACATCCCACTACGTCTGTTTCCTTACCTGTTAGACTGAGAAGATTTGGATCATCAAGAATGGACCAACTCACCCAAGGTCACAAAATGGCAGGTGGGATTCAAACCCAGTTCTTCTAACTCTAAATCCTCTCTCCACTCCCCCCTAAGATGACCTCAAAGGGCATCTTAAAATTAAGTGGGCTAACATAGGGAAAACACTATATAGATTCTAGCTACTATCACCCTCCTCCTCCAAGGGCAACTTTCAAATCCAACATTCTGTAACTCCATTAAAGGGTGACCTCTGAAGCTAGGTGTCACAATGGATACAGCTCTAGATCTGAAGTCAGAAAGACCCGAGTTCAAATCTAGCCTCAGACACTTGCTAGCTGCGTGACCCTGGCCAAGTCACTTAACCTATGCCGGACTCAGTCTCCTCAACTGTAAAAAAGGGGATAATAGTTGCATCTACTTCTCCAGGTTGTTGTGAGTATCAAATGAGCTATTTGTAAAGCATTGGACACAGTGCCTGGCACATAGCAGGTGCTTCATAAATGCTTTTTTCCTTCCCTTCCATTCATATTAGTGGTCACTGTAGTGTAAACAAATGTAGGTTATGAAATAACTAATAAAGGCTGAAAGGAAAAACCCTAAGATGAAAAGCAAACATTCTGCCTGTGTAGCTAGCTGGTGATTCTAATCAGGACCAAGGTTAAAGTATGAGATGTTTGAAAAGGTAATCTCCCTATCCCCTCTAGCCTTCCCCACTACCCCATCCCCTCACCCCTAAAAGTCTGCCAGGAAAATATAGCTTTGGGCTTTCCCTTTTGAGGTTCTTAATAAACAGCATTAAAATCAATAGAGAGGAAGGGGCAAGATAAAGGGAATTTCATAAACATTTTCTATTCTTCATGGCAGCAAAAGCTGTGTCTTTCTGTTGTATTAATAAAGAGGTGGGGATGGGATGTGTGACTTCCTTAGTAACAAGAACTCCTAGTAGAGGAAATTCCCTCCACTAATGCATCTCTGCAACTTATCATCATAGTTGCCTAGAACAGAGAAGTGAAGTTGCTTGTCTAGAATCACACAGTGAGAGTGTGTCAGGGGCAGCACTTGAACCCAGGTCTTCCTGGCTCTAAGACCAGCTTTCTCTTCACTAAACCATGCTGATTCGCACTTAAGCCTGTTAGCATTACATGTTTGATAAAATGCTTTACATGTATTATCTCATTTCTCACAACAATCCTATGGAATGGAATAGTTACATTATTCCTATTTTATAGATGATAAAACCAAGGCTCCGAGGGCAACTTGCTCCAGGTCACTTCAGAGGCTGTATTTGAACTCGTCTAGCAATCAATAATGTATAATGCCACTTTGGATCTGCATGCAGCACCCATTGGCTTTACTAGAAATTGGAATGGAAATATTGCTGAAAATAAGAGAGGACGGGAGAAAAGGAAAAAGAAATAAAAAACTCTTCAATTATTATAAAAAATCCCCCAGACCCCTGATTTTTTTCCCAGAATTGAGTTACATAAAGAGTAGGGGCAGTATGTTCTACTGATTGGTCTTGCAGTGAAGAAGAGATGTTTTTAGCTCTGCCTCTGATCCCTACTGGCCATGTGATGCTGAGAAGTCACTTCCACTCTCTAAGACTAGAGTGGGTTGAGAGAGTGTCTTCCTAGGGAGCCAGAGAAAGCACTGGCCCAGCACCAAAAACTAAAAATAAACGGCTTCACTTTCAGAAGAAAAGGAAAAAGAGTAGCCAGAAATTATGTCAGGAGTCTACTTTGGGGATGTGGCCTTTTACCCACAGTCATCAAAATAATAACATAGCCAGGGAGAGGAACCTGGCTTGAGGACAAAAGGCACTATGGAGCCATCCAAGGAGCAGCAACCAAGGAGTCAAGAGAGCCTGTGTTCAAATCCTCACTCTGCCATTTTCTAGTTACGTGACCTTGGTCAAGTCCCCTAACCACTCTCGGCCTATTTTCTCATCTGTGAAACAAGGGAGCTGGCCTAGACAAAGGATCTCTCAGATCCTTTGCAGCTCTCAATCTAGGACCCTGAGTTCAAGTTGTGGCTTGGCTATCTCCTAGCTGTGTGACCTTGGCCAGGTCTGAGACTCTCAGCATTCTCCACTATAAATGGAGCTCACTAGTTTGATCATTGTGGCTTTGGTAGTACCATTATCCTTGCCAACGTTAAGCTCGAGAACTCAGAAAAACACGGTTGGGGGGTGCGGAGGGGCAGGCTTTGCCTTCGTCTATTCCTAGATGAAGAAACAGACCCCAAAAAGGGAAGATACTTGCCCAGGGTCACCAGGCAATCAGCAGCAGAAGATTCACTGGAATCTGTTGGTCTTGCTTCAAGACAAAACTCCATTAAAAATCTGAGCTTCTCCGCTTGTAACCCTAAACTTTTAAAGGAAGCCCCAAGATCTGTCCTTGTAAACTACTGCCTGAATCCTGAATCCTAGTCAGAGGACCTAGATTCAAAACCCAGCCCTACCCCTGGGAGACCGTGGGCAAGGTTCTTCATCTCTCTGGACCCACTTCCTACTCTGAAAAAAGGGCATTGGGCCTCAGGAGACTTCATAAAGTCCTTTCCAGCTCTAACCCCCCTGAAATCCATTTCCTGAGCATTTCAAAAACATCTCCAGGCTTTCAAAGAATAGAGAAAACCTCGATGTCATGCTCTGAAGCCGGCTAATGGCATCTGCAGCAGGCTTGACTGGCATTAATTGGCAGGAATTTCTAGCAGCAGCCCCGGTGCAGCATTTAGACAACAAAGCTAATTTGGGGGTCTGGGTCTGCGATTGCCTCTAAGTGTCTCCAGACATGGAAATGCCCTTCACTGATGCAGATCATCCATTTCTAATCTTAGGAGAATTTCCTGGCAGGCACCCTGAGAGGTTAAGCGATTTGCCTGTTATTGTAATAGTTATATAATATGTAACAGTCATTACGTGCCAAAGATAGAAAATGAGCCCAGGTCTTCCTGATTCCAACACTGATGAGCTACACAGATGCCAAGCTTGTTTATAGAAGGAGAAGAAAAAAAGCTTTCTGTAGCCAGAGGGAGGCAGCAGGGTAGAGGGTTGAAGATCATGGAATTGGGGAGGGGGTGGCAAAGGACTGGTTTTCAAAGTGGCTTTGCCACTTCCTTCTTGTATGACCTTGAGTAAGTCACTTCAGAGGCTGACCATCAGGTGGACTCAGAGGGGCATGGCTCTCCACTGATACTCTGAGCAAGCTACATTAAAAGTCTGGGAATGGATACAAAAGAGATCTCTGATAGGACACAGTAACGAGTATTGTTGGATTAAGCTCAAGAACTGGAGAGAGGAGGCCCGGGTTCAAATTCTGCCCCAGACACATCCTACCCCGTGACCCTGGCTGGCTGAGCTGGTTTCTTCCTATGTAAAATGATACCTGTAACTACCTCACAGGGGTTTTCCATACCACAAAGTAATTTGCAAAACTGATGTGCTCCACGTAATCGAGAGTTGGTACAATTTGGATTAATTTCTTTTTCTAAAACTCTTCACTAATTGAGCCCTAGCTATTGGATCTGGGATCCCTAGAGGTTAAGTGATTTGCCGAGGGTCACAGAGCTAATGACAGGTTACAGGTGAAAATCCAAAACCAGGTCTTCCAGATTCTCTACGCAGCACCCAATACCTCCTGGGAGGAAGTGTTTATAGCTGCTCAAAGGAAAAAAAGGTTGTATCAGCTGAAAACAGAATCACAGAATTTGAGAGTTGGAAGGAACCTAAAGCAGTCAGGTACCAACTTATACATGAAAGGAATCCCCATTATAACATGTCCACCAAATGCAAATGTCCTGGTACTGGACTTTGAGGTAAGTGACCTCAGTTCAAATGGTGGCTCTGCAACTTACAATCTGAGGGATCTTGGGGAAGTCAGAGGCTTTCTGTGCTTCCATTTCGTCATCTAATGAGGTAACTGGGCTAGACCGCTATAGTTTTGAGTCTATAAAACAATTCTTCTCCCCCCCTTAAAATTTACCACATAGCTAAAGTACTTAGTGACTATTCAATTACCAGGAATCTTTAATTTACAAAAATAATAAAAATGATAATGAAAAATAAATCACTTAATAAGGGGGTTGCTTTAAATAGCAAGTATTTGAGATATCATTCGATTTGCAAAATCTGGATTTAAACACTTTCATGCAATAGCCAATATGTAATCTGAGGTACCTGTGTCCCAGTTTGTCACTATCGGTGAATTCCACACGGGCAAAGTGGAGTAAAGATTGGGTCAGGCATGAAACCAATAGTTTGAACTTTGGCAAAATCATCATTAACCACACAGGCTGCTCAATAAAGAAATGAAGAGTCCCTTTCATTAATTAATATATTTTCTGCATTATAGTTAACATAGGTACTTTTCTTTGCATCACCCTTAGTTTTCGTTAGGTACTGCTGTTTTTGTTATATTCAGACATGAGTACATTTCGACAGTCCTTTGCAATAAATATCATAAAATAATAGAGATTCACATAATAAATATTCTTTACAATAAAAAAGTTTAACAGACTTTTGTCTTAAAAATAGGCAGAATTCAACTTTGTGATTTATACATACAATATACAAGACATGGCCACAACGTGTGGCTAAGGCAATGCTGGCCTGGGTCAGGTCGGAATCGGTCTGCTTCTCTGCAGATGGGCCTGAAGCTCTAAGGTGGGGATTGGGAATGGGAAGGGTGCAGAGAAAGGAGTCAGGCATGTTTCAGATGACTTGAGTCAGGGGCCCCAGAAAACAACTCAGATATACAAATACCACCCAGGTTAGCGATCAAAGTGGCCTCAATGACAGCAGACACTGAAAGAGGGAGGAGACAATGAGGAGGGGGAAGCAGGAAAGGGTTGAAGAGATTTAATAGGTGGGGGAGGGGGCCATGATCAGCTAACAGGACTCCAAGGAGAATACTTATATTGTCAAGAAAATCAGAAATTGGGGGGTGGGGAAGGAGGGGGAAGGACATGCTTGGCAATTCCCTGGAATGAGCCAATGCCAAAACTGGTGGTTGGAGGGGAGGAAGGAGAAGAAAAGAGGATAGAAGCAAGAAGGGTGGGGTAAGGGAAGAGAGGTGGAAAAGAAACTTTATGCACCATGAAGACAAGTCTATACCCTCAAGGGAAGATTCAAACTCCATTAAAAAAATTTCTAAGGGGAACTCCATTCACTCCCTAGCTTACTCCAGAAATTAAATGGATTATTCTTTTAGCACTCCACCACAAGGAAATACACACACACACACACACACACACACCCCCAAAATACTGCAGAGAATAAGGATGACTTCAGAAGTTCATTCGAGGAACACAAGAGGCAGATCAGCCCTGAGGCTCTTGTCCAAGGTGGGAGCCAGGTGCAAGGTCACCATCCGAAGATCATCCACAGGAAGGAGAGGGAGGAAATCCAGGAGCGAAATCCAGCAGCAGGGGAAAGAGAAGGTGGGACCCGGGGAGGAGAAGGGAGGAACGAAGGGGAAAGGGAGCCGAGAGAAAAACAAGCCCACAGTCACAACCTGAAAGTGGAGACAATCCCAAGGTCGAGTTCACCTCCCCTCATCATGAGGGTTTGCCCTGAGCCCGAGAGGGGCAGCTCTCCAGCTTACAATAGACAGTGTTGGAGTTCTTACATCGGCAGCCCGGTCGTGTGAACCGGTCATAACAGCCCCGGCAGAGCTTCAGACACCCCTCGGCTGGGGGGTAACACAGTAAACAAGGCAGGAACAGGGCCATGGTCCCCATGCACAGGTACCGAGAGCAGCAATGGGCCTGGGAACATGAGCAGGGATGGTCCGCGTACGAGTCCCCCTCGTCGTCGTTGGAGCAATGGTAGAAGAGGCCCTTGACCAGGCACATGCAGGTGCTATACTCCACCATGCTCTCAGCGGAACACAGGCACTGACGATCACAAGCCAGGCAGGAGGGCAGGGCCCTGGGGGCTGTGCACTCTTCGCACTTACACTTCCCACACCGTTCACAGATGAACTTGTGCTGGGTCGAGGCTTCCTCTTTCAAGGAAACTTTCAGGTCCTCTGTGACGAAGGAGGCCCGCTCCGGCTGGGACCGGATGGCCCTTTCCGCCTGCCAGCCTGGAGCTGGTCGGGATGGAGGGGATCTTCCCAGCAGGCCCTGCTCTGAGGACACGCTGCTGTTGCTGCCAGAGCTGGCCGCACTCCCTGTACTGGTGGACCTGTTCAGAACAGGAACCCTGGAGTTAGTGGGTAACCCCACGTGGCCTGGGGGTTGGTGCTCAGAATTGTTATTCGCGTTAAGGGGTATGATTTCATGAGTCCTCTCATGTTTCTCTGGTCTGGGCGCTAGCCTGGGGCCAGGCTTTTTGAGTACAGATGGCCCTTCGGTGTATTCATTGTTGCCTCTGATGGCCTTGATCTGGTCCAGGGACAAGATGGTGGTGGTCTGGCTCTCCCTCTCGTGGTCCAACCTCGGCCGGCCATCCAGGGAAGGCTGCTGGATCACCACAAATGACCCACCACTTCCATGTGGATTTGGAGGATCCATGAGGAGTGAGCTGGACTTCTGGCATTCACTGGAAACCTGGCATGCATCTGAAATCCTAAAAGGAGATCAAGGGTGAAAAGGAAAAAAAAAAAAAAAGGAGCAAAAGTAAATGACAGGAAACTTTTTGGGGAGGGAGAAGATCCTGACAAGTTGCCAGCTGTCTGAACCACCTGGCAATGTTCTCCCACAGCAGGGGTCCTGGCCACAGTCCAACTTCAGGAGAGTCTGGGCACAACATCACAGGGCAGGCAAGGAGGCAGGAGCCCCTACGCCATCAAAAACTAGACTTGTGCTCTACTTTTGAAGGAGAAGGGAAGCAATCCCAATGTGACCCTTTGCAGGCCAGAGAAGTTAGAACAGGCAGATTTAAGGGGACGATACAAATGCAGGGTGTTCCAAAAGTCCTTCGTGCCATTTCAACTTATTAGAGTGTAAAACTTCACTAAGACTTTCGGGATACCCTGTACACCCCTACTAGTTAGCTGTCTACAGCAAGGGTAAGATTTTTACACTTATACATGGAGATTGTTTGGTTGTTGTTCGGTTTTGCTTTTTAGGAGCACTGGATTCATGACGTCAAGAAATTATACATGAAATGAAAGTCAATGACTGTGACCGTGGGCATTTCCCTCTACTGACGGCGCCCACGCCTTCCCTTTCTGGGCAACTCTTCCCCTGGTCCCTGGACTACTTAAAATGAATGCATGTCATTCTAGAGCCCCGGAAAAGGTCCCAAACTAAAAAGACAACATTCAAAAACAAGAGGACATTTTGCAGTGGAATGCCTCCCAATTATGAAATTAAGCAGCCAGATGCAAAGCATGGCATGGTGTTCAATAGTTCTCTCAAAATAATCCAGTGCACAATTCTGTGAAACTCAGCTCAGTTCTTCTGTAATCAAGTCTTTCTTGGGAAAGGGTCTTTTAAAAAGCACAAATACAAGTCTTTGAGAGGGGATGCTTTTTGAATAAAAAACAAATGTTTGGAAAGGCCTTCAAGTCATTCTGGAAAACTCCTGCCTGTTTCATTTATTTCTATGTTTCCAAACATAGAAAAATAATAAGGGACAGGCACCTTGAGCTTGCATCTACCAGGCTGCCCGCTTAGAACCACAGAAGGAAGAAAACAAGCACCCTGCCATCCCTGGGGGACAGACAACCAAACATTTGCTCTCTGATTCTTGGCAAAAGAATTCTATTTTATAATTTGTTTGGCACACAAGTCACAGAATTCACTCCATTTCCTTTTGCAGATCAGTGTGAAACTCTTTGGAAAGAAGTTCATCATCCCCAAGGATACCACTAACCTTATCCCAATTCCCGAGGGGTCAGGGGCAGAGCAAAGAAAGACACTAGGCAGGGAGCCAGGGTCACAGGAGAGGGGAATAAAGCTTGAGGAGACACTCAGAAGGAAAGGCGTAACAGGAAGCGTATTTGAGTTATTACTAAATGTCCATGAGAGTAAATGTCACATTAACTCACCGGAGCTCGCCTACACTCATTCTCCTGCCTGGAAATTCAAGGCCTCCGATGGGCCAAAGTTTCCCCCGCCCTCTTAAAACAACTTCTGTGCACACATGGAGGACAGATTCATAACCTGCTGCATTTTAGCTCTAGAGTCCTTAAGGGCCATTTAAAAATATTTCGAGTGACTCCTCCACTTTTTCTAAAGGCTTTGCAAGTACAAAGGAGCCAAAATGTGAAGTCCATAAAATGAGAAAGAAAACAAGGGAATAGAAATTGGAGGATGGAAGAGAGGGTAGGTCCCAGTATCTCACTGCTTTATCAAGGTACCACCTTAGATCCCATTTTTAAAAGGCATTAGCTTATGGAGACAGGCAAAATGTCTAGATTTAAAAAAAAAAAACAACAGTACACAAAAAGGGCCAAATGAATCTGTGGGAAGGACAATTTTCAAGCAATGTGTGAGTGAGCTCTTTCCCTTTCCTGATTATTTCCTAGGAGGTAAAAGGAGGAATAAAATCTTCAGGCAATTCCAGCACGTGGGGGGGTGGATGCCCTCTGGATCTTCCAGGATAATTTTAGTACCATCCCAGCAAGGCTTCCTACCAGTACCAACCAAACTATAGAGGCAAGCAAAGCTGGTCTTGAATTTTTTTTTTCCAGGTAGATATTTAAAGGCCTGGGTGAGTATGTGCACAAAAGCAAGCCCAGGGATACACATAGATTCAGACACTTCTGGGGGCTTCATTTGAAGGAAGTTGACTTGACTCCAAGAAAGGGGAATGAGTGCAAGCATCAGTTGGGTCTGGGGACTGCAAAGTTATCCCAGCAGCAGCAGCAGCAGCACGGGAAGGGTATCGGGGAGGGGAGCCCTGCACCTTCTGGGCGCACAGCTGGGACAAAACAGGAGAAATGAAGAGAGGCAGGAAGAGAAAAGAGTTATGAATGAAAATCAGTTTTCTCTCTTTTGCAAGGAGAAGAGGCATTGCCTCAGTCTGGCAGGCGTGCCAGTTCTTAAAGTGGCCGCACCTTCCTCCACCCTTCTCTTCCCACTTCAACAAGTACAGCCCTAGCAAAGGAAAGGGGGGCGGGGAGGGGGGGAGGTCCCAGACTGCAGCTTAGGTACAGATCTTATTACCGCCGTGCGCTGTGCTGGGGTAGGCTGCGCTGAGCTCGCTCTATACACGCACAAATGCATGCGCACACACGCACACACGTAGGCCCCAGGCACCCACGCGGGCACCCACACACTGTTTTCACCTCTCTCCTCTTTCTCAGATCGGAAAGGGAATCTCCTCCCAAAGGAGGGCTCCCTCCTAAGGGTCTCCAGAGGGGTGATCTTGCCAGACAGACCAGCTGCACTCCCCACCCCATCCCCCACGCCCTACCTTTACGGACACATCCAACACCGAACCGAACCAAGGGCCCATAGAGGAGACTGTGGGGCTCGGACAGGCTGGAATGAGGATTCCAGGCAGGGGCACAGTGCAGTCACTCCATTGCCTTCAGGGAGACAGACCTGGGACTTTTCCCTTCTCCTCTGGCAGGGGCTGGGGGGCAAGGGGGCAGCCCTTTGAGATCCTGGGCAGCTAAGAAGGATGATCTGTCCCAGTGCACTCATTTTGGAAAGAAGGAAACTAGTCCGCGCACTTTGGGGCTAAGCTGCTTTTCCAGGGCGCCCCCACTCCCAGACCTCTCCTTCCTTCCCCTTCCCACCCCCTCCCTCCACACCAGCAATGGAGTGGTTTGCTGTCCAGCAATCTTCCTCCCGCCCCCGCCTCGTCCCTAGGGCTGGGAACCCAAGGCTGAAAGTCAAGGTGAGGTGGCCCCACACCTGCGCAGGTGCCAAGGCCGGGCTGCCGGACTTGTTCCCGAGGCTGGGAGTGAGTGGGCTGCACCTGCTGGGGGAGCAGCCCCCCTTCCTGAACGTGCACCGTCTTCTCTCTCCACGTGTGACCACTCGTCTCCAAACCGCCAAGAGAAGCCCAGCTCAGGTGCGCCCGTGTTCCTCCCCCTCACCCCCACCCCGCCGAAAGCAGAGTAGGACCAGGCGATCCCCCGAGAAGCCCACCTACCGATGTCGGAGCAGTCACCGGGGGCCAACGCGTCCAACCCCGCTCCACGTAAGACCCACTGCGCGTCGGAGGGCCCGCGCGGAGCATTAAACGGCGCGGCCAGGGCTTGCGGTCGGCATCCCCTCCAAGGCGAACTAAGGCGAGGCGAGGGTTAGCGAGCCCAAGGCCTCCCCCTCCCTCCTCTTTCCGCCTCCTCCTCCTCCTGCTGCGGCTGCGGGAAGGAGCCTTTCCCCCGGCCCCCTTTTGGCTGCAGGACAGAATTCTTGCTCGCAGTTCTCTGAAGCAGCCCGGCTCTGCGCCTCTCACCAGAGTGGGCTCGCCATGAGCAAGAATACTTGCGTCCGGCAAGGATTCCGCAGGTAGCGTGCTCCCCCGGGTTTGCAAGGGTCTCCCAAAAAGCTAGGAGGGAGGGGGGAAGAAAAAGAGGAGGGAAGAGGGCGATGAGAAGGGAAGGATTAAAACAAGGGGGCAGAAACAAAAAGCAATATCCTTGGATCTAAAAGCAGTTCTGACCGAAAGCTTCCTCAGCCTTCAAATGTCCCCTGCTCCGATGCTGAGAATACCAACATAGGGCGGGGTGGAGGGAAGAACGAGCAAACAGTCTTCAGCCCTGGATGCAGCGAGTGGATCTCAAAGCGGCGTTGTCCGGCGGTCAGCCACTGATGCCAACAGGAGCCGAGAGCAGCTGGCCAGCCGAAGGGGATCAGATTTGCAGCGGAGGGGTCCAGCTAGGGATCTGCCTGCCGTCCCTTTCTGCAAGTTCTCCAGAGTCCTGGTGGATTTGGGTTTGGGGGGTGTTCTCCTCCCACACCTTTTTTTTTGGCGGGGAAGGGGTGGGATTTCGCAGAGCCCCACGACGTCTCAGTGTCAGGATGGACCGCGCCGGGGGATCTTTCTGTCTCCTCTTCACCAGGCTAGGATGCTGTCACGGCGCCTCATTCACCCCGCAACGGTTCTTCTGGGGTGGGCACAACGTGCCAGCGCCTCACCTCGCTCGGCTCAGCTCAGGCCCACGGAGCGGGCAGCGGGCGCCCCTTCAGCCTGCTCGCTCGGCGTTCCAGGTCCAGAACCTGCTTTGCTGCGGGGAAGAGCGGCGAGAGAGCGCCCATTTAGTAAAATGAGTGGTTCTCCGGGCGGGCGGCGCAGGACAGAGGCCGGGGCCGAGGCTCCCTCTCCCGTTCCCTCTGCCCCCAGCTAGGCAGCCAGTCAGCCTGCCTGCCTGCCATGTGCGTGCTGATGCTCTCCCGGTGATTGACAGCAGCCCCGTAGGCATGCATGTCAGCTAGCCCACTCACCCAGGAGCCAGCGCCCCCCGCGCCCCCCGCCCGATCCGGCAGCAGGGACTGCAAAGGGAGGTCCCGGGGACCCTTCTCCAGCCCCTTCCCCAACACGCACACGCACACGCACACACTCACACACACACACACTCACACACGCGCACACGCACACACACTGAGTGGGTGAAAGGGGGGAAGGGGGTCCGCGCCCTGGAATTCATGCCCAGAGCCCGGGCGGACCTGGAGGCTCCCCCACACACACGGCCCCAGCACCTGGGGGGGGTGGGGGGGGGGGCAGAGGGTGGAAGTCCGTCCCGGCCGCTCCCACGCGGGAGGCTGGCGGGGACGCGGGCGCGGAGAGCCAGCGCTGCCCTCCTCCACCGAGGCCAGCCAGCCCCTCTCACCCGTGCGCTCCCCCTCCCCGGCGGCGCCCCGGGAAGCGGAGCAAGGAAACGGCTCCTACCTAATGCCAAGACTGGAAAGGGCTTTCCAGACACGCACCTTTGCCGCCTGGCCACTCCGGGAGCCGGGCTGGAACCGCGGCGCGCGCCCTGCCTCCCCGCCCGGCCGCCTGCGACCGCCCGCCTCGGAGAAGCCAGCCCCGCACGCCCCGAAGCCGCATTTCAGCGCTCAGCCTCCACCTCCACCTCCGTGCCGAGGCCCGCCTCCAATGATATCATGTGTCCATCACGGGGACTGCTCGAAAACCTGGAACAGGATTTCCTCTGACAGGCATTTCCTCCGCGGTGTTTACAGAAGCGGACGGGGTGCAGGCATGCACTTGCACGTTTGGTCTCCCGAGGCAGGCAGCCAGGCTGCCCTACTCGGAGCCCTTTCCCTTCGCTCCAGCTCAAGGGGGTCCGCAGAGCCTTCCGGGGGGGGGGGCGAAGAGGGAGGGAGGGAAGGAGGAGGGAGGGAGAGAGACAGAGAGGGACAGAAGGAGGGAAGGAGAGAGAGAGACAAAGATAGAAAGACGAGACAGAGACAGAGACAGGCTTTCCTAAGCCAATGGAAGCTGCTTGGGGAGGATCAGAGCAAGTCAAAAGCTGCACATCTAAGCTACACGGTCCCTGGGAACACTAACCCGGCAGACAAGTTTGTAGTTAATGGCCCATACACACACACACACACACACACACACACACACGCACACACACACATACACACTCACACCCACCCACACACACATACACACTCACACACACAGACACACACACACTCACACCCCCACACACATACACACACACACGCACACACACATACACACTCACACCCACCCACACAGACACACACACGCACACACACACTCACACCCACCCACACACACACACACACACACACACACACACACGCCCTTCCGATTACCTTCCTACATTGCACGTAAAGTCATCTTCTGTGTACCTTGTCACCCGCACTACCTCACCTCATCAGAATGTACTCTTCTTGACGCCAGGGACTTTTCCCACTTTCTTATCCTCCCAGGAGTCTAGCACAGTGCTCAGCACTCAATCAGCATTTAATGGATGCGTGTAGATGATTGAACGATTGATATGCCCAAGATCACCGAGGTAGTTAGTAAGCATTAGAGATGGGATTTGAAACCAGGCCCCTTTATTTCAGGGCAGAGTTCATTTTTAACAGAATTCGGCAGATACCCAACTTCAGTGTTCTGTCCTGGGCACCACAAAACTACAAGAGAGGTGTGGCACCGCAGGATTGGAGGCTCACTAGCACCGGGAGTGTAACCTCAGTGTTTTCGAAAAACCAGAATTCCACACACACACACACACACACACACACACACACACACACTCACACACTTTTGATGTTTCAAAGGGCAGGTGCATTATATAATTTCCTAGACTGAAAACAAATACATTGAGAAGCAAGCTCAAAGGAAAGTAATGAAAAGCGTTGTGCCCTGTCCTCTCCCACTGATTTTGCAAGTTTTGTAAACCTAAAGTTGTACTATCTATAGGAAATGTAACCCCAAAGCCCTCCCATAGTCCGTGGCCTTTCATGGTCCTTAGTAATCTGATATGGGTCACCGAAGGACTTACACTTTTTTTTTACATGTATAAATGAGACTGGTTTTTAATTCTCTGGTAACTTTAGACTTTAAAACCTTCATGACACCAATCAAACAGATTCTAGCCCCCTGGAAAGCACACATTGCCCTTGGAGAAGTTAAGGTCATAGTGTCACTGCTTCATCATTTAAAAAAAAACAGTAATGTCTTAAAACTAAAAAAAAGTATATTTGATATACTTTGATATACTCCCCCCCTTTAAGAAATCAAGAAAGTTTAGAATCGGGCAAAAAGAACAACAAAAACGTAAGTTGTTATTACTTTATTATAATTTTTCTTTCAATCTAAAGTCAGATTTGGAAATTTTTAGTTCAAAGAAATACTTTGTAATTTTTTCCTTAACGTTTTCTACAAGTTGTCTTATTCATCATCAGCAAGTGATATTGATGTGACTGGTATTTATTCTTCTGGATTTCTCAGTTTCTACTCTGGGAACCATAGTTGGGACAGTTTTCAAATTATCCAGGGTAGGATCAAAATACTTTTGCTCCAAATAGGACAAAGTGAACATAATTCTGGGATGTGCCCAGAATATTTATAATGTACAGTTCTGCTATAAAATTCATGTTTTAGAAATCCAGACATGATACCTTTAGGGAGATTTTTTGATTTTTAATCATTCTAATGTTTGGTGGAAGCATTTTCTTTTTCTGCTTATCAAAGATATATTAATTTCTATGCACTTTTGGCTGAACTGAAATTTATTACTAGTAGAACAAAAAATATTTCAGTCCATCTCTGAATCTCATTTTGTTCTCCAAGAATGCCTACTCAGTGTATATCACAGCCATGGAGAGATCACAGTACTGCAGAGCCAGGAGAGGGAGCACTAAACATTTCTTAAAAAAAAAAAAAAAAATCAGTTTCTCTGAATAAATTACAGATAGTTTTGGAAAATAAATGGAGTGAATGACCTTTTTTTAGGAGAACATTTTTTTTAATTACATTTGCAGTAATGAATGTTACTGATAGTGACTAGACCCATGTTTTCACTGGGTTATGGAAACTCCAGCCAGAAAAATCCCTTTATAGAAGCTTGTGTTAAGAGAGTTACCTAGAGCACAGAGAAGTTAAGAGACTTGCCTAGGGTCACCCAGTCCATATCTGTCAGAGAAAGGACTTGAACCCAGATATTTTTGGCATTGAGGTCAATATCCGCTATACCAAGCTGCCTCTTAAAATAAATCAAACTTATCATTCATTGTCATCCATGAGTCATTCATTGTCACAGAAAGTTGGCTGTGTCATAGTGGGGAGAGTTTACTCATACGTTTTTTGCATTTTAGGGGGCCACATGTAGAAATACATCTCTCCATAGCACTTTTTTGTTTGTTTTGTTGGTGATGCTTTTGGATTTTTTTTTTTAGCACCACAATCATTTCCTGACATGCCACACTTCCCTTACCTTCCATTCCCATAAATTTTTCTTCTGTAACAAATAGATACAACCTGTGGTCCAGCACCATGAACTCTGGTTTTAAACAGGTCCTTAGTGCCAGCCTATGCTTTGTCTTCCTTCAGAAAACTAATGAAAGGGGAATTGCTAGACAGGTACTACTGCCATTTTGGTGAATTCCCCAGGCATCCAGCTTGGCAGTAGTATTAGAGTCCTTCCAGAAGGGAAACCCTTTGGGTTGATAAATAGGTACCATTCAATGAATGAGCCTGCCCTGGAAGGATGCTTACAAATCAATGAGTCCAACCCCCTCATTTTACGATGAAGAAAGTGAAATTCATAGAGAGTAAAGGACTCACCCAAGGTCACACAGATAGTACATAAAATTCAAACTCAGGTCCCCCAAGTCTAGTGCTTTTTCCATTATACCATGTTGCTTCCAGCCATCCCAGAGAGATAGACAGGCATCTGGCCTCATGGAACTGCCTTGACTGATTGAAGTCCTGTAGAAGGGAAACACACTTAATAGAGAAGCAATCCCAAAACCCATTTGAATCATGCCACCCAAATGACAACATCGAGATCCCTTCTTCCCTCATATTACAACTGCAGGTGTCCCCTGCTGCCCTTCCTCCCAACTCTAGAGGTCCACAAAGAGGCTAGCTCTGTTCAGGAGCTCCCATAACTCAACAGAAGGCGGAATTCCAAGATTCTCAAATTTGAGATCTCTAGAAAGGCAACATCTAAAGCATTTGCTTCCCAAGGCAACTGTTATGAAATCAGTGAGGGGATTTGGGCAGAGAGGTAGTACGTGGATAGAGTGCTGGAGTGAGGAAGCCTGCCATGGTTAATAGCTATGTAACTTTGGGCAAGTCACTTAACCTCTGTTTGCCTCAGTTTCCTCATCTGCAAAATGGGGGTTATAAGAGCATCTACCTCCCAGGGTTGTTGTGAGGATCAATGAGATCATAATTGTAAAGTGCTTAGCATAGTGCCCGTCACACAGTAAATTAGCTATTATTATATGTTAACTATTATTATTATTATTATTATCATCACCTCACCGGGTTGTTGTGAAGATGAAATGAGATAATAATCGTGAAGCACTTAGCACAGTGCCTGGCCCAAAGTAAGCTCTAGAGACATGTTAGTTACTGTTGCTGTTGTTGTTGTTATTTTTATTAATCACCCTTTTTTTTTCACTAGAAGTCTAGATTACAGGTTCCAGAACATTCAGGAAGTTCCTTTGGCATTAGAGGACTTCTTAAGTTTATATCCTGGCTCTACCACATCTTATTTTCATGAGTTATTTAGCTTTTCTTTGCCTCAGTTTTCTTATCTGTAAAATGAGAGGGTTGAACTTGAAGGTTTTTCTACTCTAAATCTATGATCCTACCTGAAAGATGGAACCCTGAATTTAGGGTTGCAAGAAAAACAAAACCAAGGAGAAACTCTCCCCCACTCAGACCATATGGCTCCCTTGTCCAGGGCTGCCATGGGGTTGAAAGCATGGGGTTGCTACCCTAAGGAAGGAATGGCTCCTAGAGGTTAGGGGTGATAAGCTTAACTAGTGAACCCAAAAGTCTGATCCTCACTCTGCTAAAAGGCAAATGGGCCAAAGTGGTGAATATTTTCTGAAGATTCATGTAACAGAAGGTAGTATGGTATGTATACAAACACATACACACACACACATATACATACACACGTGTGTATGTATATGTATTATGCATGTGTATACACACACACACTACTGTGGTATCTATAGTAGGAATTACTTTTTTATTTCTATCTAGGACATCACCATTTTTCCAGTTTCTCAAGTTCAAAACCTTGATGACTCCTCACTCTCACATTATGGGTCCAATCAATTGCCAAATCTCATTGTCTGCCTCTATAACCTTTCCATCTGCTTCCTTCCCTCCACTCACATTGCCACCACCCTAGTCTAGGCCTTCATTGCCTCTTTCCTGGACTATTGCAATAGCCTCCCCTGTCTCTGACTCCAGTTCATCCTCCACACAGCTGCCAAGGTGATTTTCCTAAAAGGCAGTGCTAATCACATCACCAC